GAGGGGGGGGGGGGCGGGGACAGGGGTCAGAACGTTACAAAGAAAAAAACACGATAGGAGTGTAAAGTAGATAAAAATGGCGTTAAAAATACAAAATGCAACTTTTTTGTATTCTCTGGTTCTTTCTGTAAAGTCACGTAGCTAGAAAAATATGAAAAAATAAAACAAAATAAATTTCGATTTAAAGCTTTCGTGACTGCAAGGATTCATCTTCTTTGGTTCTTTCGGTAAAGTCACGTAGAATGAGAATAAAATAATAAATTAATAATATAAAATAACACAATAAAATTCTCACGACGTTTCGGCCACAACACAAGTGGCCTTCATCAGGTGAAGGGACGAGACTGTTATTTTATATTATTAATTTATTATTTTATTCTCATTCTACGTGACTTTACCGAAAGAACCAAAGAAGATGAATACAAAATAAAGTGAATAAAAAAATAATAATAACCAATGTCAAAAACCACGACGTTTCGATCGCAACACAAGCGGTCGTCATCAGGAACGGGAGGGGGGTGGTTATCCTCTGAAGGCAAACTGTTTATAAAGGTTTTAGAGATGGGCTGGGAAGCTAATGTTGATGTGGGAGCAGGCCCTGGACACCGGCAGTAGGTCTACACCAATCAAAAGCATTGCACCTCGCTACATACAGCCACACTGCCGGACGGTGGAGGTTGACAAAAACACACAAATCAAGTCACGACCCAAAGTGGTCAACGACATCTTTACAATCATTGCCGAGCTTATAACCATCGTCCTCGGTTTAAATTGTGTCTGTATATACGGATGGCTTTATGAACGAATCTTTGTTGATAGCCAGTGGGTTTGCAAAGGAGCATCGTCTTAGAGAAATACATTTCGTGTGAGCCAGCCGCATTAAAATAATGATCAGCCACGGCAGAAGTATTGGTCCTGCCGTGTTTAAAATCTGCCTTGTGCTCACGAACACGGTCCGAGACATGTCGCTTAGTTTCGCCAATGTAACTGCTGCCACAGATACAGCTTAGTTTGTAGACGCCGGGATATTGCATGTCAGGAATCTTGTCCTTCACAGATGGGATCAGATCACGAATTTTATGCACGGTGTTTTAATTTGGACCTGGATATCGTGTTTATTCACGATTTTGGAAATGGTTTTGGTTACCCCCTGCTATGCATGGCAAGGTGATGGTTTTGACCGTCTCCAGGAGGTAACAAACACGTGTGTGTGTGTGGGGTATTCGCGACGAACGTATAGTGAACGTTGCATGAGGTGTCATCGTTGCAAGCAGCAGCAGTAAGCAGCGAGCAGTAAGCGGAGACTTCAGCAAACCCCCCTTCACCCCTTCACCCACTCTTCATCAACACCACCCCATCCCATTTTCACCAATCTCCCCCCCCACCGCCCTTCACCCCCCCCCCCCCTTCACCCCCCCCCCTTCACCCCCCCACCCCCCTTCACCCAACCCCCCCCCCTTCACCCCCCCCCCACCCCTTCACCCACCTCCCCTTCACCACCCCACCCCCCCTTCACCCCCCCACCCCCCTTCACCCCCCTACCCCCCTTCACCCCACCCCCCTTCAACCCCCCCACCCCTTCACCCCCCCCACCCCTTCACCCCACCCCCCTTCACCCCACCCCCCTTCACCCCCCCCTTCACCTCCCCCACCCCCCTTCACCTCCCCCACCCCCCTTCACCTCCCCCTCCCCCTTCACCTCCCCCACCCCCCTTCACCTCCCTTCACCCCCCCCACCCCTTCACCCCCCCCCACCTCCCTTCACCCCCCCCCACCTCCCTTCACCCCCCCCACCCTCCTTCACCCCCCCCCACCCTCCTTCACCCCCCCCCCACCCTCCTTCACCCCCCCCACCCTCCTTCACCCCCCCCCCACCCCCCTTCACCCCCCCACCCCCCTTCACCCCCACCACCCCCTCTTACCCAACCCCACCCCCCCGACCGGAAGCGCCTTAAAAGGGCACCACCAGCGACGAGCGTGGGCGGGGGGGATTCCGGTCGGTGACGTCACCACCGCTGGGGATATCCGGCGCCGCTGACGTCACCGCTTCCGTTTCTCAGAAACAGGCGAATGGAGTCACTTGGGCCGTCGACACCAGCCCGTGGTCTATCCACTGCTGGATGAAGGCCCCCCCCCCCATCCCCCTCCCGCCCCCCCATCCCCCTCCCGCCCCCCAAAAGGCGTCGCAATCTCTTACACCAACCATCCTGTGGCCTCAACAGAATGTTATTTTTTTCATCATAATCATTTAGAATATTTATTTAGACGAAGCTGTTTTTTTGTTCTTTCTCACAGATATCCAGATTTCTAAGCTGCGATACCTCGACGTTTCGGGCGATGGCCCTTATTCGTAGCGACGTAAATCACGCGGCCTCAAACCGTTTGATTTACGTGTCGTGAAGAAAGCCCCCCCCCACCCCCCCCCCCATTCGATATTCATCCTTTGACGGACACACCACGCGCGGTGAACGCGTGCCGGCCTTCATAGCTGCTACTCGCTAACAGCACTCGACCCAAAAGTCTCGCAGAGGCTATACGGGGGCCTTTGTCTTTGTTACGTGTAGCAATGGGTGCGATAATTGACAAGGAAATATCAACACGAAGCGAGGTGTTCATTTACCATTGGGCTGGTTTATTTCTTAAGTTTCCTCCTCCAACACCACCACCCCCCCCAAGCGAAATGGGGGTTTGTAGTAATTATAATTAACAAAAAATACGCGAATTGACAAGGACCACAACATGGACCCCGGCCAATAGCACCACGGTGAAAACAAAAATAACTTAGCCAGGCAAAAAAAGTCGCAACCATCAATCCCACCCATCACAGCACATGGCGATCCCACCCCACTCGCATTTCAACATCCGTAACCAGCCACATGAGACCCCCTCCCCCACCACCCCAGGGGTCAATTAGCAACAGCAATTCTGTTGCGTCATTGCAGCGTTGCCGAATTAAGATCGCAGAGCGCACATCACCTTTGTCCAACATCCACAACATTCACTGTGCAGGTTGTGGAATTATGAAATTAATCCGAATCAGAATATTTAAACTGGAGGAATCCGATGAGCTATAAAGCTCTTTCTCCCCCCCCCCCCTCCCCACAGATGTTCAGTAAATCAGTTCTTGTGGCGGCCTTAATCATCTAGCGGTGGATAAGTTCATAGCTGCCGCTGATTATAATTGTTATACGATCGTGTGATTAAGCCTAGGGTTGGCGTCCTATCGATTCGGCGACGCACGGCTCTGCTCCACAAATGTCTTGAAATCTGTCGACGTGCTCTTACGCAATCACTCGCTCGGACACTTCACGAGTGACTCACCCTCGCTCACTCAACCCCCACTCACTCACTCACCCACTCAACCTCACTGACTCACTGCGACACAGTAGCACGTGTTAAAAAAATATTATTACAAACAAAAAAATTCCGAGACCGCACAGCGATCAACGACATCATTTTAGATCATTCGTAACAACAATCTCTTGTGTGTATTTATATATGTGTAAAAAAATAATAAATTAAAATAATCGGGAGAAATTGTTTCACTTTGGAGCGGCGTGTGCCCTTCCGCCTCTTCGAACAAAGGACCGCGTGTCTTGCTCGGCTTTGGGTCTCCCGATTTCCCAAGACCAGCGACGTCTTACAAAGTCTCTTCTCAGTCTCAATCCTTCCTTCCCTTTCCTTCACACGCCACCGACTGACTGGTCCCCGCACACGAAGGAATCTTCACGTGGCGATGCGTCTTGAGAATGGTCCCGGTTGTCGTGTCGGTCATTCTTCGTTATTTCTCGCACGCGACGACAATGGGTTACCCGTGTAGCCTTAAGTTCCTTAACAGACTGTTGGGGCAAGTTCTGCGAGCGATTAGCCACCATGTCTATAAAGGCCGGCACGGCACACGAGTGGGGGATGGGTGGCCAGCACCACGCCCGGCCGCCTTTGTCTCCCTAGTGGCGACGTTTACACAATCGCACGGGGCACTCACTCATCTGAGGACGAGTCCACCTAGGAGCGCACTCGCGCGCACTTATAAACAAAGACCACAGACAAAAGGTTGTTGTGGTGTGGCTAGGCACTACGCCCGTCCGCCTTTGTCTCCCCAGTGTATACACACACACAAACCCGCAGTCGGTGTGCGAGATATTCCGCCAACCGATGTTGTCCGTGAGCAGTTAATCGGAAAATCTCGGGGTATCCGTGTTCGAAGGCGCACTGCGCTAACCGCTGCGCCACCGCTCTCCACGTGTTGTAAAGCACGCCGGTAACTGCGACTTGCCTCGGCCTCCAGCACGCGGCGTCGGTCCTGGACTGACCATACTTTCACCACGTTGGCTCATCCGCTCGCCACTGATGTTAGCCGTGGCGCGAGAATGGGACACGTGGCATGGGATCACTGGGCGTCCTCTGACAATTGTAACAACAAATAAATTCCCTGAAACTTTAACAAGAGTCATTAACTTAAATTGAGCTTTGTATGTTACCATGCAAGGCCCAACGAGCTACGTTGGCTCTCTTGCAGAAGCCACCCGGCTCGTCACAAATGATGGCTCAACAAAGCGACTTATCATCGCCACGTGGACATTTATAGCAGCAAGGCTGGAGGTGGGGGAAACCCGAAGGACCCGAAGAGGGAAATCGACGCGACCACGGAGAGAGGCAGTCAGTTTCGGTCGGGATCGAACCCATGAACTCCTGCATACCGGGCGAGGTAGTTAACATCTCCTACCCACCGCGGCGCCCCCCCCCCCCCCCCCAAACACACAAAAAAAGACAAAATCCCCCATATAGCCTTAACAGACTGTAGGGGCAAGTGCTGGTAGCGAGCCTCACCTATGAAGGCCGGAACGGTACACGAGGGGGTGGGTGGCCAGCAACCACGCCCGACCGCCTTTGTCTCCCCAGTGGCGATGTTTACTACACACCGCACCGGGTACTCATTTGAGGCTCAGTCGACCTAGGGGAGGCCCGGGACCGGTTCAGATAATCGTCACTGGTGTTGGCCGTGAGCGGGAATCGAACCCGGGTCCCCTCTACACACACTTACACACACTAACACACACGTACACACACTAACACACACCTACACACACAAAAACCGAATCGCCGATCAACCGGGCACTCTCGCTCGATGCAATCGCTCCGGTCACCGCCTTCGCAGCGCCGAGCAACAGTCGCACGCGACTCAAGTCTCTCGCAGTCTCTCGGGACCGACACTGGAGTTCAGTTCGGGGTCGATAACGAGGCAGCGTCCACCTCCACCGCCTCCATCCCGACGCTCGTTCTTCCACCGACAGCTCGCACGCTGCCCGGCACCACCACCATCACCATCATCACCCTCTCTCTCTCTCAGCACGCCGCCACCGCCATGCAGTTCAGGCTGAGTTGACCCAGAGGCTGCGGGTGGTAGCGGACTATGTGGGGTCCTTTCCATTCGCCGGCCTTTGTCGTCGAGACTTCGCGTGCCGGCGAGGGCTTCTGCTGCTGCTGCTCCTGCTGCTGATGATGATAGTGCTGCTGCTGTATGCGGGGTCGTTTTGGAGGCGAGCCTTCATCATCATCATCATCGGCCCCCTCTTCCGACGAGGACCTCTTTCGGCACAGCCTGGCGAGCGGGCCAGGCAGCTCAGTTGCCAACGTGGTGGTGGTGGTGGTCGAGTCGCTGGTTGACACCACCATAGACTTCTCGGTGATGGTGGTGGTGGTGGTGGCCGGAGCCGTCGTCTCAGCAGCGGGCACGGCCGGGGCAGCGAGCGGGGCAGAATGAGAGCAGCCGAGCGTCCTCGGAGACCGATCACCGCAAGTCCACTGCTGCTGCTGCTCCTGCTGCTCCTGCTGCTGCTCCTTCTCCTGCTGCTGCTGCTGATACTGCTGGTACTCGCACAGCTGCCGGTACTTTTCCCCCAGGTAAGCCTGCTTGGCGTTCCGCAGGACGTAGGAGACCAGGAGTCCTCGGTGGAGTCGCATGCCGCCGCGCTGGGTTCGAAACCCTTGGAGCTTGGCGAGCGAAACGGCGATCATGCGCTTCGACTCCATCTCTCGCTCTCGAGCAGTCCGGGGAATTTCACTTCTTTTCCACCTCTTTTTTTGGGGGGGGCTCTACGTCCGCTCGTCGTGGCCCGTCTCGTGGGGTTGGTGGGAAAAAGAGTTCGGCACTCGGGACAAAACTTTTGAAACGCTTTGCCTGACCGGCTGCACAAATCGTATGTCGATTCCGACGTGGAAAGTCCCGGAGGAGGTTCGGGTGGGTCACGGGGACGCCGCCGTTCCGTTCGACCTGGGAGTGGTGCGGCGGTGGACGAGGTGGACGAGGTGGACGAGGTGCGGGAGCGGAGAGGTCCCGAGCGGCACAAAGAATCACAAAGACGACTGACCCCTGTCGCGGCTTTATAAAGCAGCCGGCGTCACGGCCGCGGTGGGGGTGGGGGGAGGTGCTGGGGTGGGTGGGTGGTGCCGGCGAGTGGGGTAAGTGGGGGGAGGGGTCGATGGACGGACCCGCCCCGTTCCGTCCACTGGGGTGGGTTGGGTGGGAGGTGCCGGCGAGTGGGGTAAGAGGGGGGGAGGGGTCGATGGACGGACCCGCCCCGTTCCGTCCACTGGGGTGGGTTGGGTGGGAGGTGCCGGCGAGTGGGGTAAGAGGGGGGAGGGGTCGATGGTCGGACCCGCCCCCTTCCGTCCACTGGGGTGGGTTGGGTGGGAGGTGCCGGCGAGTGGGGTAAGAGGGGGGGAGGGGTCGATGGACGGACCCGCCCCCTTCCGTCCACTGGGGTGGGTTGGGTGGGAGGTGCCGGCGAGTGGGGTAAGAGGTGGGAGGGGTCGATGGACGGACCCGCCCCCTTCCGTCCACTGGGGTGGGTTGGGTGGGAGGTGCCGGCGAGTGGGGTAAGAGGGGGGAGGGGTCGATGGTCGGACCCGCCCCCTTCCGTCCACTGGGGTGGGTTGGGTGGGGGCGGTGGGGTGGGGGGGACCCTTTCCGTGACGGAAGCTCCAGCCAGAGCCTTGCCCTGCCCCACCCCGCCACCACCGCCGCCCATCCCCCACCGCGTGCCCCATTACTCATCGGCCCCGCGACGTCACTGGGCGCGCGGCTCCGCCCCCCCCCACTGCCCCCGGTCGCTATGGCAACCCGGCCGTGCTGGTCGGGATACGTAGCGACGGCTGTTGTCTTGGAGATGTTTCTCTGTGATGATGTTGTTGTTGTTGTTGCACCTCCGATGAGCGCGGTTGGTTACGTACGGTGCGAAAGAAGTTCAAGATACACACATGCTGCTCATAGACTCAACACTGCACCATAGACTCAACACTGCCCATAGACTCAACACTGCCCATAGACTCATCACTGCACCATAGACTCATCACTGCACCATAGACTCAACACTGCCTATAGACTCAACACTACCCATAGACTCAGCACTGCCCATAGACTCAACACTGCACCATAGACTCAACACTGCCCATAGACTCAACACTGCACCATAGACTCAACACTGCCCATAGACTCAACACTACCCATAGACTCAACACTACCCATAGACTCAGCACTGCCCATAGACTCAACACTGCACCATAGACTCAACACTGCCCATAGACTCAACACTGCCCATAGACTCAACACTGCCCATAGACTCAACACTGCCCATAGAATCAACACTGCCCATAGACTCAACACTGCCCATAGACTCAACACTGCCCATAGACCAACACTGCCCATAGACTCAACACTGCCCATAAACTAACACTGACCATAGACTCAACACTGCCCATAGACTCAACACTGCCCATAGACTCAACACTGCCCATAGAATCAACACTGCCCATAGACTCAACACTGCCCATAGACTAAACACTGCCCATAGACTAAACACTGCCCATAGACCAACACTGCCCATAGACTCAACACTGCCCATAAACTCAACACTGCCCATAGACTCAACACTGCCCATAGACTCAACACTGCCCATAGACCAACACTGCCCATAGACTCAACACTGCCCATAAACTAACACTGACCATAGACTCAACACTGCCCATAGACTCAACACTGCCCATAGACTCAACACTGCCCATAGAATCAACACTGCCCATAGACTCAACACTGCCCATAGACTAAACACTGCCCATAGACCAACACTGCCCATAGACTCAACACTGCCCATAAACTAACACTGACCATAGACTCAACACTGCCCATAGATTCAACACTGCCCATAGACTCAACACTGCCCATAGACTCAACACTGCCCATAGACTCATCACTGCACCATAGACTCAACACTGCCCATAGATTCAACACTGCCCATAGACTCAACACTGCCCATAGACTCAACACTGCCCATAGACTCAACACTGCCCATAGACTCAACACTGCACCATAGACTCAACACTGCCCATAGACTCAACACTACCCATAGACTAACACTATCCATAGTCTCAACACTGCCCATAGACTAACACTGCCCATAGACTCAACACTGCCCATAGACTCAACACTGCCTATAGACTCAACACTACCCATAGACTCAGCACTGCCCATAGACTCAACACTGCCCATAGACTCAACACTGCACCATAGACTCAACACTGCCCATAGACTCAACACTCAACACTACCCATAGACTCAACACTACCCATAGACTTCGCATTGCACCTCCGATTAGCACGGTTGGCTACGTACGGTGCGAAAGAAGTCCAGCGTACATACAACCTTCGTGCGTACACGCGTGCGTTGCGCAACGTAAGGTATGCAATTGGTCTCACGAGGATCGCGTGAGTAAAATAAACGCGTCGCTAAACCCACCATCCACACGACACAGCCAATCCGTAAGCTGTATGTTAGGGGACGTCCATAAATGACGTCACGCGATTTTGAAGATTTTGACCCCCCCCCCTTCGTCACACGGCGTCATAAAAAGTCAGACCCCCCCCCCTCAAATATGACGTCACAAAGCTCTGCCCCCCCCCCCCCAAAACCATATTTCCATTTTTAAAAATAAAACATGCTTCAAATCGTTTTAAACTATTGTCATTGTAGTGCGTATTTAATGTGGCGCTGCATTCTGATGTTGTAGTAGTGTTGTTATAACTAGTGTTGTTATAACAATTCTATATTTATTTAAAGTTGCGCATTTTGATGTGACGTCACATTTCCCAAACCCCCCCCTCGTCACACATCGTCACAAATGTCTGACCCCCCCCCCCAGGTGCGTGACGTCATTTATGGACGGCCCCTTACAGTGAGATGGAGGGTCACCAACCCACTACGAGCATTTACAATGTCGAGCGCTGCGACGTTTCGCTGAGTGATTCAAGGCCGTAATTATAATAAATATTGGGGGGGGGGACACACCCCTCCCCACCAATATTCAAATATGCTCAAAATGCCCCCCCCCTCCCAATATATTGCTATAAAATAGATTTCTGTTGATATGATTGTGGTTATGGTTGTACTTTATAAATCCCTAATCTCTGCCATTACATACAATGAAACAAGAAAAAGTAAAAAAAAAACAGAGCAATGTAATACAATACACTATTAGACATTGTTGTAAAAAATAAATAAAAAGTCTATCCTATGTTTTAGTGCATTTTTTTAATATTTTAGGCAGGAAATTCGTTTTCAATTTTAGATTTTTTTTCTGGGGGGGGGGGATCCCCAGACCCCCTTGAAGATTTGGTCCCCCCCCCAATGTTGACTCCATGGCTACGGCCTTGGGGTGATTACAACAACAGCCACCACCAGCCTCATATTCTTATCTCTTTCGGTAAAGTCACGTTGAAGGGAAACAATAAAATAATAAAATATATATAAAACAATAAAATTCTCACGACGTTTCGACCTTAACACAAGCGGTCATCATCAGGTGTGAAAACCCAACGGCAAGAAACATTTGAAAGAAGTGGCGGTTTGTATTTATTTATTTTTAAACGGTGTTTTTTTATTTAAAAAAAAACGTTAGCACCACGGGCAGCGATCTGGCAGTTTGTTTAGAAGGACGAGTCCATCTATGTTCTGAAAAGAAGAGGGGGGAGACGAAAAATTAATGTATGCTGTCTGAAAGCCACTGTAAGCATGAACAATCAATGAAGGCCTGAAATGGTTTATCAAATCCTTCCAATGATTGCTAAGCCAGAATCCATCTTCTCGGTTGAAATTGTCTCTGTGCTTGTATATGTGGATAGCCTCATGAACGAATCTCTCATGGTAGCCAGATGGCTTACAAAGAACCTCTGTCTTGGAGAAGTCAATGTCATGTGAGCCTACTGAATTATAACAATGATCTGCCACGGCCGAGGTGTTGGTCATACCGTGTTTAAGGTCCGCTTTGTGTTCACGAATGCGGTCCGAGACATGGCGTTTGGTTTCTCCAATGTAACTACTACCACAGAGGCAACTTAGTTTGTAGACACCAGGGTACTGTATGTCCGGAATCACATCTTTTACAGACGGAACCAGATCACGGATTTTATGCAATGTGTTGAAACGGACCTGAATTTTGTGTTTATTCAAGATTTTGGAGATCTTTTTTGTGATCCCCGCAATGTAGGGTAAAGTGATGGTTTTGAAAGGCTCCTCAAGAGGGTCCTTCTTCATGGTTTGAGTGATAGCTTTGCGGATTGTATAGTCGGAGTAACCATTAGCTTTAAGAGCTTGGTGTACGTGCTTGAGTTTACTGCCTATGTGTTACTGGTCGGATATGCATTGGGCTCTATGGTACAGAGTCTTGATGAGATAATTATTCTGTGATGGATGGTGGTGGGAATCCGGTTTCAGATAAGCATCCATATGGGTAGCTTTCCTGTAGACAGAGTGGCTCATTGAACCATCAGGTCTCTTTTTTATTAGGACATCCAAAAAAGGTAGCTTGCCATCTTTTTCGACTTCCATGGTAAATCTGATGGCTGGGTGTATGGAATTGATGTGGTCGAAGAATTGGTCTAGAGCAAGCCGGCCATGTGGCCAGATGACAAAAGTGTCATCCACGTACCTCTTCCATAAGGTTGGGCGCAGAGTGGCAGTCTGGATGGCGTCAGTCTCAAATTTCTCCATGAAAATGTTAGCTATAACCGGAGATAGGGGGGAGCCCATTGGGGTGCCCTCAGTTTGTTTGTAGAAAGTTCCATTCCAAGTTAAGTATGTATTGGTTAAGCAGTGTCTCACCAGGGGGGTACCTCAGTGTTTAGTCCTTGATGAACCAAGTCTTCAATGATTGTGATGGTGTCAGGTACAGGAACTTTGGTGAATAAGGAAACTACATCAAAACTGACAAGCAGGTCGTCTGTGGACAGGGAAATACCCTTGATTGTCGATACCAGGTGAGTAGAATTTTGTACTGCAGAGATGTTTTTTCTAGTGAAAGGACGCAGGAATTCAGACAGAA